GTTTATTGATTTATCTTTAGTTGTAACACGTCATTGTGCCAAACAAAGATAACCCTCAACTGCATGTTTAAAACTAATATTAATGATTTTACCAAATGAACAGGATACTGATAACCACCAAGAGTGAATTTAGAGGGGTGTTTCACTTTTTCTCATTTAGTGATAGGTCTATTCATAACCAAACACAGATCAACATGCAGCCTTCAGAGCATAAAATGACACTGTTATGGTGACAAAAAAAAGGAAAGAAAACAACAGAAACATTTGTCACCATAAGTCCAAAAGTTGACACCATAAGTCAGATTACATATGCTCTGTGTATGAAGAAAATCATCACTTCCTTGTCATTACTCTTCTTCAGTGWTAGAGCTTGGTGATGTTTCAAACTGTTAAACACTGCCACCAACTGTTCAGGAGGATTATTACACCCCTAAAGGTTGTTTGACTGTGGAAGGGATGTGTACAGCAGGGTGGCCAATGGGGTGGCCAAAGATTTGTCTGTGGTGGCCATGGTCACCCCTGGCCACCCCCTGGCTCCACCCCTGCAGTCAACCCTAAGTGCCTAAAGTCATGCAGCTTTGGGACTTTTGCTCCATAACCTCACTGTTCCACCTGCCTCTCCCTCATTCAGAAGCTTCAGGGGTATTCAATCCTGGTCCTTGAAGGCCACTATCCTGCAGTTTCTCTGCTCCAACACAATGAACTGGCAATTAACAGACTTCTGCAGAACTTGAAGAGGTAATTCAGTCACTGAATCGGGAGTGTTGGAAGAGTGAAGTACAACATGCAGGGTATTGGTCCTCGAGGACCAGAACGGGACATCCCTGACATATGTCTGACTTTCATTCTTCTTTCAAGGGCATACCTTCACCTCTCCCAATTCTCTTCCACCTGTTTCCTGTTCTCATCACAGATCTCAATGTCTCACAGTTTGGAATAATTTCTTTTTAATTTATTATTTGTTTTACTCAGATTAAGTATRTACATCAAATGATTGAGTTGTATTAGAAGCTTTATTCTCAAGTTGCACAAAAAGCAAAAATTACTACAATGTCATAACAAAAAAACTTTTCAATAAACTTTCATTTTAAACAGTGTTGTATAAAGTACCTCAAAGTGACACTTGAGTAAAAGTACAAGTATTTTATC